TAGTCACAAATGATTATCTCCAATTTTTTTGTACAAAAACAAAATCATATAGTAACATGTTTTGTAACTATAAGCTATAATTATTGTTACAAAAAAGTTGTCACAACAAATAATGAGATTCAAGTTTTTAGTAAAAAACAATTTTTGTCGTTATATGTTTTAATTATAGTGACAAAATATATTGTCATAAAGATTTCCCTTCATATTTTTTTGCGCCAAAAAAGCCATATAGTGATAAATTTTGTAACTATAAGTGTTAATAATTATTACAAAAAACATTGTCAAAAAAAATAATGTTATTCACGTTTTTGTGACAAATTATATTTGTAGTTATAAATTTTAACTATAGTGATAGCATATATTGTCATAACTATTTTTTCTCAACTTTTTTTGTTTCAAAAGTTATATTGAAATTTTTATAATTATAATTTATAGTTATTGTTATAGAAAAAATTATCACATCAAATAATAAAATTCAAGTTTTTTGTAATAAATTATTTTTGTACTTATATATTTTAATCATTATGAAAAATTATACTATCATAACCATTTCTCCCTATTTTTTAGTGTAAAAAATGTTATATAGTAACACAATATATTGTCATAAAGATTTTTCTACATATTTTTTGTGCCAAAAAATCATATAGTAACAATTTTCGTAACTATAAGTGTTTATAATTATTACAAAAAAAATTGTCACAAAAAATAATGATATTCACATTTTTTGGCAAATTATACTTGTAGTTATAAATTTTAATTATAGTGATAACATATATTGTGATAAATATTTTTCTCCACTTTTTTGTTTCAAAAGTTTATATTGATAAGTTTCGTAATTATAATTTATAATTATTATTATTATAGAAAAAATTATCACATTAGATAATAAAATTAAGTTTTTTGTAATCAATTATTTTTGTAGTTATATATTTTAATCATTATGAAAAATTATACTATCAACAAAAATAAATAACTATAATATAGATAAAATATAATCAACAAAAAAATGCAAAATTAACTATAATATATATAAAAATAAATAAAAAAATAGCACCAAATTGCATTAAAAATAAATAACAGAAACATGAATGACCAAAATATAATTAACAAAAAACAGCATGCAAAATTAAAATAACTATCATATATAAATGACCATAATATAAAACAATAAAATTGATATTCTAAAATTTGAAATAAATAAAAAATAGAGAAATCATGTTACTAAAGTGTAAAAACTCGGCAAAGTTAAGGGGACTTATATGGCATTAAACCCTAAACTAGTGACTACAACGAAAAAAAGTGCTAAAATTACGTGGATCATTTGACGATTAATCCATAAAATAGGTGAACAAAGCAAGAAGATCCCATAAATAGGGGACCTGAAACGTGATTTACCCAAAATAATTAAAATAAAAACTCCTCCCCCGTTTATTATGCTTCACTCTCAACCTAACCTAAAAAACTAATATACTCTCAACTAGGGGTGTACAAAAAATCCGAATATCCGATTTTACGAAAAAAATATCCGAAACCGGATTTGGGAAAAACCGGTTTTTTTTAACCGGATCGGATTTTTTTAAACCGATTATTTTAACCAGTTTGGAGAAAAAAACCTAGACCGGTTTTTGACCGGATAAAAAACCGGTTTGAAAAAAATCGGTTAAAAAATCGGTTTTTATCCGGAAAAAAAAACCCGGTCTGGGTTTAAAAAACTAACCGTTAATATAGCCGTTGAGGGGATTTTGTGACCGTTTTTGACCTTTTTTTCTTTAAAAAATTACCATTTTACCACCCTAAACATATAAATAGGTTGGGGATGTATTTGGTTGATTACAAATTTCTCAAATCTTATTACACAACACTTTCTCTCAAATCTTATTTTTGTAATTTTTTATTCATCATGAGTAACACGGCTGAATCTTCCGTCGGGGGAAACCTTGAAGTCGTGAGAGTGATCGAACACACTCGAAACAAAGACATTTGGGATCACTACGATTTATGTGAGATGTCAAATGGCTCGAGGAGGGCGCGTTGTAAACTTTGTCTAAAGTTTCTTGCATCGGAAGGAAACACAACGTTGAAGAACCATTTGACAAAATCATGCAAGGCACTTCGCTCAAGATCGGATCCTAGTCAATCGAATCTTACACCGCAAGGTGGTGTTTTTGTTTACGACAACGAAAAATTACGAGAAGCGTTTACAAAGTTCGTGATTACAAAAGCATTGCCGTTCGACCACTTTGATGATGAAGATTTCACGACAACAATTCAACAACTAATGCAACCACGTTATACTCAAGTAAGTCGTACTACCCTTAGAAGAGATGCTATAAAAATGTGGCGTACGGCGAGGAAAAAAATGATTTTAGGATTCCAAGAACACCGTTATGGTGTGTCGCTTACATGTGACGTTTGGAGTTCCCCTCATAATACATGAAATTCTTTTTTAGCCGTTACGTCACATTGGTTAGATCAAGATAATTGGCAAATGATGAAAAGAACAATCGCGTTTGAATTATTCGGTGAGCCGCATACCGGTGCTAATTTATTTACACTTTTAAAAAGGGTAATTTGTCTTTATAAATTAGAAAATAAAGTTTTTTCTATATCCTTTGATAATGCATCGAATAATACAAACGCGGTTCCAAGATTGAAAATATTACTTTCACCGATTTTAGACGGTGCGTTTTTTCATACCCGTTGCGTTGTACACATAATTAATTTATCCGTGCAAGCCGGTTTGGAGGTTATTGAGCCGATTAGATTAGAATTTAAAACAATGATAAAATCGGTTCTTTGTAACAACAACAAAAGACTAAATGATTATAAACGATTTTGTAAGTCCGTTAATAAAAAAGCTTTGGGTCCTAATTTGGATTGTCCAACTCGTTGGAACTCAACTTGGATGATGATGCATACTGCCTTAAGGCAAAGGGAAACATTGCAAACATTTCACGATCGGCTTTTCGAGAGGGGTCATGTCCCAAACATTTATCTGGATTCGAGTTGGGAAACTATAGCCAAAATAATCGATTTGCTTGAGGTTTTAAAAATGCAACAACTTTTTATCCGGTGTTTATTACCCTACTAACCCGTTGGTTCTTAATCAAATATTTTTGTTGGCTACCCGACTAAATGACTTTGAATTTGAAACCGAAGTTTTTCAAGAAATTGGCTTTGCAATGAAGGAAAAACTTTTAAAATTTTAAGGAGATTCCCCCCATTTTTACTTGTACCGCCGCTTTAAACCCAACGTTAAATGTTGGTGGGGTTGAAACACTAATTGAACAAATTGCGTTTGCTTTTAATCTAACCGATGATGAACCCAACTTTGTCCAAAACCAAATAAATTATTTTAACAAATGTTTTCGAGACATGTTTGCAATTTATTTAACTAAATACGGATCAAGTAGTGTAATACACGATCAAATGAGAATGAATGCGGAATCATCTAGTAGACGTCCAAGTAACATAAATTTGAATCTTTTTAACACTCTTGTAAATTCCCAATCCAAACGATCACGTACTACCACCCCAAGTAGCGAGTTGGGAAATTACATGTCATGCGATTTTCTATCAAAAATGACATTTGAAGAGTTTGAAAGTTTGGATATTTTGGCTTGGTGGAAAGAAAAGGAAGCACAATTTCCGATTCTAGCCGCCATGGCCCGTGATTTACTAACCGTCCAAGCTTCTACGGTAGCTTCGGAATCCGCTTTTTCTGTTAGTGGCAGGGTTATATCGCAACGGAGATCAAGACTAAGTCCCGAGTCGGTGGAAGTATGCATTTGTTTAAAGGATTATTTGGATGGAGCGGCTCGTAAGCACCATATCACCACCCTAGAAGATGCAATTGATGCCGATTTGGAAGCAAACTTACACATTGAAGAAGTCGAACTTGGAATATCCCCTCCAAACGAAGAAGGCGAAGATGATGAAGAAGAGATGGCAATGTAGTTTATTTTATAACTTTATTTCAATTATCGTAAACTTTGTTTCAATTATCGAACTTGAAGTTTTTAAGTATTTGAATTTATCGAACTTGGAAGTTTTTAAGTATTTGAATTTATCAAACTTGGAAGTATTTAAGTATTTCAATTATGTTGAGTTAATTAAGTATTTCAATTAAGTATTTGAATTTATCAAACTTGAGGTTTGATGCTTTCTCTTTGATTCTCTCTTGATTCTAGTTGCTTGATGTTTCTTGTCTTTGATCAATGGCTTCTAAGCTTGCTTAAATACACCTTGAATCACTTCTGAACGTTAGTGATAATTAATGAAGATAATATAGGTGTTTAAGTGTGAAAACATTTAATAAAAATGCTTGGAGCGTGGGGGAATCGGTACCCTCTCATAGGGAATCGGTTTCCTCTCATAGGGAATCGGTTCCCTAAGTGTAAAATTCAAATATTTCGACCGTTGAATAGGGGGAATCGGTACCCCTATGGGGGAATCGGTTCCCTCCGAGCATTCTGGAAATCTCGGAGCCAAACCATTCAGTGAGGAATCGGTACCCCCTTGGGGGGGAATCGGTTCCCTATGAGCAATCTGGAGTATTAAAATCGGTTTTTTTATAACCGATTTTTTTAAAAAACCGGTTTTTTTTAAAACCGAAACCGGTTACACCGGTTAGAATATCCGGCCCTCCAAACCGGTTAGAAACCAAACCGGTTATTTTATAAACCGGTTTTTTTTCTATGGGAAAAAATCAGATCGGATAAAAACCGATCCGGATCGGATTGAAATCCGACAAATGTGCACATCTACTCTCAACCCCCTCTCACACAGCAGCCACTAACCTCAACACAATATATAAAAATCGAACGCCGACCATCATGCTTTGGTGGTCGTTTCTTATCTTGGCCGACACCAGCGACGTAGCAACCCAAACGAGGCCAAACTGTGGCCCCCTAGACATAAACTCGACCTCGATGGAGCCACACCGATCTCCTGACAACCCAAAGCCGATGGCGACCAACTCTGGCTCCAACCAAAGAAAACCGAGAGAGGAGTAGATTTTCGCTTCTCTCCGTCGTTCGTCGTCGCTTGATAACCGCTCGCATTTCTCACAGGTAAATTCCTCTACCTCCTCAAAATTCTAAACGACTTTTCATTTCGCAATTGATTTTTTTTAAATTTAGCTTATGGCTATCCAGATCTGCCTCTTTGGAATTTGACTTCAGTTTGTTTCAACATTGCGTTAATCTCTTAAAATTTCAATTCTTTTTGTATTTTCATCTTATCTGAGTCTCGGGAAAGCGACGTATTTTCGTTAAATTGTTTTGATCTGCCTTTTCTCGGATTGAAATTATTTTGTAGCATGTGAATCAATCCATCTCTCCCCTTTTTTTAATCGTTTCTTGAACGATCATCTCATGCTTGTTTTGATTTCAGTACTTTGGATTCTTATTTTGATTCTTGAAGTTCTATATAGGGTTATGCAAATTCACATGTGGATTTTGGTGTTTTGACAGAAGTGAAAAATGGGATTGTCTTTCGCAAAGCTATTCAGCTGGCTTTTTTGCCAAGAAGGAGATGCGTATTCTGATGGTTGGTCTTGATGCTGCTGGTAAAACCACCATTCTTTACAAGCTTAAATTGGGAGAGATTGTCACAACCATTCCTACCATTGGTAAGTAGTTTTTTTTCACTCTTGAATAAAATTGAATTTTGTTGCAAATTGTGATAATTTTATGCAATCTTGTAGGATTCAATGTTGAGACCGTGGAATACAAGAACATCAGCTTCACCGTTTAGGATGTTGGTGGAAAGGACAAGGTATGAAGTTTGGTTTTTTATTTAAAGATGTTTTTTTACTGTAGATGTGGCATCCAAGGAAAAAACTCTAGGGTGTCTTATATGTGTTTTGTTTATGGCAATAATTTGGGCAGAATTTCATGATCTCGTATATTCTATAAGCAATTAAGCATCATGATAACATGCATGTGTAGCTTCATTGAATGAGAGAATATGGGGTAGGTGTTAAAAAAACCAATGTTACAAAATATAAGCTCTCTCCCTCCTCTCCCTACTGTTTTTATTCGAAAAAGCTAATAAGAAAAAAATATCAGTTGCTAAAAAAATCTAAAGGAAATAAGTTTTTTTATTCTCCAATGCTCTTTGCTATTTCAAATCAATCAGAGGAAATTTTTACAAATGTTCTCCTTTTGTTAGTGAGAACCGAAAAAAGGAAAAGGGGCCTGTAACATCCTAAAATCAGGGCTAGTGACTAAAATGGAAGTTTTGAAAACTTTATGTTCAATTTTGAAGAAAAAAATTGAAAAGTTCAGGGACTTAACTGGAGAATTTTGATGTTGGATTTAATGGTAAAGTTTGAAAGTAATAAGGGTATTATGGTCTTTTCTAAGAGAATATTTTTATTTCTCTTTTTAAGAGATATAAACACGTGGAATTGGTAAATGAAAAAGGAAAAGTCTGGAGAATGGGAGCTTCTTCTTCCTCCTCTTCACCGTGAGCTCATTTTCAAAGGTGAGAATGCTTTCAGTTGGTTAATTCTTGTAAGTTTTGAGTTGGTTTTATTCTTGGGATGTTAAGAAAGCTTAAGGGAAACTTAGGGTGGCTTAACACTAAAAGAATTTCAAATTATGGGTAATTGAAGAAAAATGGTTTTTAAGTGAATTGTTGAAATATAGCTTGTTAATGAATTCAAAAGTCATATTTGACTTGTCATCAGTTAGAATAATAGATTAAAGAGGTTAAGTGGGATGAATTACAAAGTTGAATAATTGACAAGATTTTTAGTTTCAAGTATTCTAATGAGATATTGAACGTTTAGATGTTTTAAAGTGATATAAGATGGTTTGAGGAAGTATATTTGAGTTTAAAGTAATAAGAGGAGTTTAAAGTAAGGAGTTTAGATAAGTATTGATGGATTTTCGGGTTAAAGAAGTGTATTCTGGCATGAGGTATCGGTATTGTTCATCCAATACCGATACTTCAAAGCAAAGATGAGTAGAAATTGAGCTTGGGGTATCGATACTGAAGGAACAATATCGATACCATACGATAAAATCGAATGAAATCTTTAAGAAGTATCGATACCTAAAGAAAGGTATCGGTACTGATTTAAGAGGTATCGATACCAAGTGTCTAGTATCGATACCATTTTTAAGATATTAGCACATAATGCAAAAAGGGTATCGGTACCGAGTAGAGGTATTGATACCATAGAGGTATTGATACCATAGAAGAGTAGTATCGGTAATGTATGGGGAGTACCGATACTATTGAGTATTGAATGCTAAGCTAAAGGTTTCTTCCAGCCTAAGTTACACTGAATGGTTATTGTAACATCCTCAATACCGGGTTAGTGATCAAATTGTAAAGTTTCAGAATTTGATGACTAAAGTAGAAGAATGAAATAATTCAATGATTATTTGAATATATATTGAAGGTTATTTAGTAATTATTAAAAGAAATTAAGGGTTAAATGGTCATTTGATCATTCAAGGAATGATATACACGTGAAAAGGGAGAGAACTCTCCAGAGTGCTCTTCTCTTTTCTTCTTCTTCATACGTGGGAGAGCAAGCCAAAGGTAAGTTTCTTTGTTTGTAAATGAATTGTTGATTTTAAGGTTGGGTTTTGATTATTAGATGATAACTAAGCTTAGGGAAAGCTTAAATCATCTTAAAAACAAATGATGGAGGGGTTAAGAGAGATTAAAGATTTGGAGTTTTTATATGAAACTTTGGAAAAGAATTGATAAGTAGAATTTGAAGTTAAATTTGACTTGTCAATGGTTAAATTAAGAGATTTGGAGTGTTAGAATTGGAATTAGAACACATTGAAAATTTGGTATGATTTTTGAATCTCATATGGAAGATAGGATTTTGAGGTTTAAGATGAAATAAATGAATATAGATTGGTTTAAGTATGTATACTAGAGTTAAGAATGAAAAGGGGATGATATATGAAGGGTTTGAGTGGAAATGAAGTAATTTTCGGGTTGAAAATATGATTTCTGGGCAAGGGGAATCGGTACCCATTCAAGGGGAACCGATACCCCTTCAAACGACAGAATTTCAGAATGTCTTGAGGGAATCGATACCCCCATGGTAGGGAACCGATTCCCCCTAAAGGAAAATGCGAATATTGGTTTAATAAGTTCGTTTAAGTTGCTAGTATCCAATTACAAGGTGTAGGTATCTAATGATTACCTCGAAATGTACATTTATGTAGATTCTACGCATAAAGAATTCCGGAACGTTTGGCAAGTAAGATTGATCAAGGGGAAAGATAAGAGATTTGAATTGACTAGTGAGGCCAGGTGAGTGTATATTAATTAGTTTATGGTGCTAAATGGAAACAAGACTTGCGACAAGTCTATTTCCTCTGTTAGAATGCATGAATATATGATTATACGTATATGAATGACATGAATTGTATGTATGCATGATTATATGTGTTAACATGCTTTTGAATGTAATGTTATGAGAAGTATGTTCTATGTAATGTATATATATGAACATATGTGAAACTGAACTATGTGACTGCATGAGAAAGATATGAGCCATATGACATGATATATGTGAACATGAGAAAACAAAGTATAAGATATGAACTATGTGATCCTATGAGAATGTGAAAGAAGCTATGAGCTTATATGGCATGTGATATGAAAGTTTATATGTGAAATGATATGAAATATATATGTGAAAACAAGTATATGTTATGAGATCAATGATTACACGTACATGTGATACGTGACTGAAAAGAAAGGATAAGTGGTTATAAGAGAAAGAATATGAATAAGTAATGTGAACTGTTATAAATGATAATGCCCATGTTATGTGATATGAGAGCTAGGGGTATAGTTGGTATGCCAAGGGTCGAGGGTTTACCTATGTTCTTCTGGACATATGGACTGTTTACCTATGTTCTTCTGGACATATGGACTGTTTACCTATGTTCTTCGGGACATATGGACTGATTACCTATGTTCTTCGGAACATACGGACTGTTTACCTATGTCCTTCGGGACATATGGACTGATTACCTAGGTTCTTCGGAATCTATGGACTGGTCCTTCGGGACATTGATCGAGCTGTGGTGACAGCATATGTGTGCACAACCTCAATGTACTCACATACCTTAAGTTCTCACTAGTGTACATGGGCTAATAAAGTGATTAAACAAGCATACTGAATGTGATATGTATACGATGGGGTTATAAGTGGTTTGAAATGTGTTACGTGAACCATATGATGTTGTGTGTGTATAGTGTTTGATTGAAAAGGTTAACAATAAAAGTATGTGATTACATGATAAACTGTTAATGATGAATTATGTGTCTGTATGTATTTACTGTAATTAATCTGATATGATTTTATATGATACGAAGAATGCATGGAATTGGTATAACATGATAGAACAGAACATGCATGTATTGATATATGTTATGAAGTGCATTGTAAGTTGTTATGCCTCACTAAGTCTTCGACTTAGCGTGTGACTGTTTCACGCGTAGGTTTCGAGAAGAGTAAAGAGTAATGCGGAGCAAGACGGGTCAGTTTTCCTTACCAAATGTCAGATCAGAAAATGTATGTACTGTTTACAGAGTGTAGTTGGCATGTAGTCTAAAGATATAAATGGTATGAACTCTGATATCTGTTGTAAACGCTTTGAAATAAATTAAATGTTATCAAAGTTTTTAAATTACCCACTATTTTATACGAATACATGTTTAAAAAGTCAATGTGACACTTCGGACTCGTATCCGGGTCGGATACGAGTTGGGGGTGTTACATTTAATGGTATCAGAGCTAAGGTTTAGCCGATTCTCGGCATAAACCGAAGTCCAAAGTGTCATAAAAGGTGTACATGCCAACATAGATTGAAAAATTTCTGATCTGATTGTGTAAGGAGTATGTTGTCTTGCTAATAGAATAAGAATAGTTTAATACAGTAGAAAATCCGATCGTGATAATTTCGAAGTAATTGAAAGGTGATATTCCTGATTGTGATAGCTATTCACTTGCCCTGGCCAGGCAGGATGAAGAGCGGACACCTCAGGAAATGCCTAGTAAGATCAAAAGTTGATTTCAGAAAGCTGAAATCATATCTGAATAATGATAGAAAGTTTTCATCGTTTGAAATCGGAAAAATGATATAGAGTTATTATGTGGATAAGATAGAATATGGTGAACGGGTGTCATCATAAGAATGTTAAAAAGATCTAAGGATGTGATGAGTACGTATAGAAGAACTTAAGGATAAGTGCATCAGTGACAAGTGTATAAGATGTATAAAGTCAGAGTTTATGAGTTTGAAACGAAGTGATAGTATTGCGCATAAACAAGAGTATGTTTATGATAAGGGTTTGCAGTTTAGATGGAAAGAGTTAGCGTTGGCTAACTGGAGTATGTGATAAAAATGTACTAGATTATAAGATTATAAGATATTGTCAGGATATGATAACCAGATCTGCAATGGATCTGGATATAGTTGCATATTTGGATTATAGTAATGTGGTATAGTAAAGGAAAAGGAAGTAAGAATTTGTATATTTAAGTAAAGCTGAGGATTGATAAGAAGAGTTTGAGAATGTGTATATCGATGATCAGATTATAGGACACAGGAAGTCAGAATGTTGAGTTTGAGTAAAAGAAATTTCAGGATGTATGAGAATAGAGGTGAAATTGATAAGTTGAGTAAGCGAATGTTAAGATAATTTAGATTGGAAAGAATGTATATGATTGGTATAAGAGGGCTTGTGCCCTAGACTGAACCAAAGTTATTATCTAGCTGTCAGA